CCACCAGGGAGGGCCCGAATTTAAGCTTTAACCCATAGAGACAGGTCACCAAATCTGTCACTGACCCAAAGTTAGAGAAATCTCAGGGGACCTACTCCTTTAGTTGAAGTGTGCTTAACCTGTGGGTACCAAAGGAATTGATTCCAAGGGCACTCTAGCAAGGTTATCCTCAGTATCCACATTTTTAGGCACTTTGCGCAAGATATGAACCTTGACATGGAGCATGACATATAGTTGGGCAGAAGGAAAGAAAGCCAGGATTCTATGTAGGAGAAGGAAACTTTGAATTAGTGATACATGCAGTCTATGAGACAAATCTGACTGGAGGGGAGGCTGCATTCTGTTCTCCCTGGAAATAACACAAGATGGCCTTAGTAAGGAGCTGAGAATGAAGAACTGAAAAGGTAGACATAGAAGTTGTCCTAGTTGAAGTAAGCATATAGATTTCTTAGACAGATTCAACTGTGACTCCAAAACCACTCCTTCAAACATGAATAAATCTTTTGTCACTTCCTACATGCTCTTTCACAGAACTTGGCTTAGGCTTGTTGGCAGTAGAACCAAAGATAAATGGGGGAGAGAATTCAGAGCAGGGAAACTCAACAGGTGACACCCAGCTATCTTATCTGAGAGCCTAGAAGGTTAATGGCCCTGGATAGTTCTCTCAGGTAGGATTTGAACATAAGCAACTAGAAAGAAGTTGTGTCTTCATAACATTGCATCTCTGGAAACCTAGCACAGTTGGTGCCTAACTTATCAGATTAATAAATTGAATGAGTCTCTTCAATGAAGCCATTAATAATGGCTTCTAAACCTCTCCCAATTCTAATTTTATGTCAGTTTCTAACCCTGAACTTACAATTTTTCAAAGTTCTCAAATACTGACATAGAGAAAGATAGGTTTTCAAAAAGGTGAAGAGGGTATATTTTACGTTATATATTTTTGACCACAATAGAAAAAAAAATGGTCTGTTAAAAAAATATGCATTTGAAAATATACCAAACACATTTTATAGATACTTCACCAAGGACTAAAGTTTAGTAAAAGTCTGTTTTTTTGAAAATTAAATTAACCAGAATCTTATTCTTATTAATGGAAGGTTTAGTATACTACATAAATTAATATATCAAAAAAATTAATATATCAAGGGCAAATAAACACCATAATATCTGGAATGGTGAATGGGTGGATGTAGATACTTGGAGATCTCAAGTTCTAAAACAAAAACAAAACTTCTGAATTGCATATAAACCATATTTTCAATAATTTGTTTCAATAATTTGTTTTTTTTAAGGCTATGCAGCAGATTTTTTTTTTTAAATAAAGATTTACTTATTTATGCTTACAGAACTGGGACACAGGTTAGAGGTGTGGTGGGTGAGAGGATTCACCAGAGACAGAACGGGGAGCAGAACAGGCAGATTGATGAAGTACACTGCTGAGGGGAGCAGTGGGCAGTCAGGAGAGGTCTGCTGTGCCATATGGGTCAGCTCAATGACAGTGGATCCAACTCGTGCTGCACTTCCCCTTTTTATTCTGGGCCCATGAGCCATGAGCTATTGTTTACATCTTTGCACATTCGCGCCCTGTTTTATTCTTCTTGTGTCTCTTTCTGAGACGGGTTTCTCCACCTAATCAATCTTGTTTTTTAATTGTGATCCAGCTCAAAAGAATCACCACACCTTTCTTGCTGTCCTTAGTCATCTTATTTCTTTCCAGAGTATATTCTTTATGTCTGTTTTAGCATTTATCAAATGCTCTGTACTCTCGAAGTATAACTACCTCTGACTCCCAGGAGTACTGGGAGAAACTTGAAGTTAGGCATGATGGATTTTTTTTTTTTTAAATCTGTCTGTGTCATAGTCTAACAAGTGGACTGGAAGGTGAATGACTCTTCCTAGGAAATGAAAGAAATCTTTCTGATGACATATGGATAGGAGAATTTTCCTGTCTGTTTCTTGGAAGCTCAAATTCCTCAATTAGAAATATTCATCTTATTCTAAATAACTTCCAGGCATTCGAGGTTAGAGACCTAATAAACGATTTTTTCTATAAATTTTGATGTGTCAGACGTCTCTAAATTAGCTGTCAAACTCAAAGTCCAATGTTCAGTCACCAATTATATTTCTTCCGTACAACTTCCTTAAGCTATTAGACCTTACTGAAAGGAAACGCTACATGTAAACCAAAAAAAACTGGTGTCTTAACCTAGACCAAAATATTTGACCAATGGCACCGTGCTGTCTTGGGATTTACATCCATAGTTGCACCACTGGTCAACTGGCACGTGGCTTTCCACATCTGAGACTGTTGTGCAATTACTTGTAATTACTTGAGTCGAACGATTCCAGACGCCTGGCGGTTACTTCATCTTCGTTTACCGTTCACTATTTTATCGTGTGCCAGCAGAATGTCCGGGTGCCCGGCCACTGGCATTGCCAAAGTTGGCACTAGATTCCTGGCCTCTTCAAATCCGCGCTCGACACCGGGGTGCCCGAGTTTAAGTTGGACGAGCCGGGACCCCAACTTCTGTGCCGCCGGTGCCGCGACGCCTGGCGGGTATTAAGATGAACCTCAAGTCACA